TTGTCATAGTGGTAATGCATTGAGTTTGGACTAAAAGTCTTAGGTTCAAGCCCTTATACAAGCATTTTATTATTTTATTTTTTTATTTAGTGCCCCTCCACACTAAATATTCTACGTCCGCCACTAATCATACTGAAATGTAAATTAAGCAAGAGTTCTACAAAAACATACGCCGAATTAAAGTGAAGAGAACAAGCACTAGACCTTAATAACTTTAGGCCAAACCACCTTGTAAAAAATGTGACATAAAATCTCTACATGGCTTCTCTTCTTAGGAATTTTCAAAGTTTGATTAAAGCACTTCTACCAAATAAAATCAAGAATCCTATTTTAAAATCTGAAGTTTTCAGATTTCCTAAATTTGGAACTATTAATACAATACAACACATCTATAATTTTTGTATACCCAATTCGTCGCCCAGGACGAATAATTTTTACAGCCTTACACGATATCTTGACGAGATCAGCATCATTGGCGGCAGCAGAACTAAAGAGATGAAAGGCATTTGATCACAACTTAATATAGGAGTGCCTTGGGTTCCTGCATTGAATTATAAACAAAAGAAAGAAGTTCTCCTTTCTTTCTACCCTTTTTTTTCTGAATAACAGAGCTGTACAAGCATGTACACATTTACCTACATACAAATTTACAGAACCCTTAACAGGAAACCACCCCAACCTTCCTTCTCTTGCCTTCGAATAAATCAGGCATGAGATTTAACCACAGAATAGACAGCAAAGTCATTTAAAAGAACATTTGCACTTCTAACTAATCTAAACAGACCATAGTCTATAAGCAACTGTTGCGACAACAAGAATACTGTAGGCTAACCACAGCTGCAACAGCGAGAATACTGCAGGCTAACAGACCATAGTCCTTTCCTTCATTTCAGGTGTGAATCATATGCATCGAATAGGGATCGTACCACAATCAAGAAATAAATGGAGCTCCACAAACAATATCGATCCCAATAAACAGTCATGTGTAATGGTAACTATAAATATGATGATAAAAAGTGCAAAGACAAGAATTCTTCAAACATCCCCTAGCTCCAATCACCACTCCAGAGATGCATAAAATGTTGATGCACCTTAAAACTACAATAAAAATTTTCAAATAACTTATGCTAACCCCCAAATCCAACCCCTGCATAAACAAGTTAGAGACAGACAATCAAACTTATCACACTAAGCATGCTTCGTATTTCCAACTCTTGAAAAAAAACAGTACATGTAACCAGTTCTATATCACCACATTCTAGAAAACTTTGATTTATTTCATATAGCAGCAACCAGTTTTTCAAAAAAAAAAAGTTTCAGAAAAAAAAGACAAAAAAAACATCAAATCTAGTACATAAGTTGACCTTTATTTACTACTAAATAAAAGAAACACATGTTGAAAAAACCAGACCCCAGGCTACCTTTTCTCTTTCCCTTTGTTGTTGTTCCTTGGCTTGGACTGAGATGGCTGAGAAACTGGCTCTGGTTGGGAAGAAGATATAGTTAAGCTTCGTGTCTGCATTCTGGTCATTACATGCATTGGTTTTGAAGATTGAGAAGCAACATTAGTAGTGGTTGGCTGGGATGTAGAGGCAGCAGCAGTTGTCTTTTGTTTTGTCTGGTTTTTATTATGCTCGGTACCGTGTGATGCTTTCTCCTTTGCAGTCATACCACCTTTGCATGTTTGCTTGTTATGGCCATATAATTTACATAGTGAGCATTTGACTGTGGTTGACCTTTTTTCTTTATCTGTTCATCATCAGCTCTTCTTCTCTGTCTTGATGGTCTTCCTATTCCTCTCCTCATTGTAGGAGCTTGAATTGTTGGTTGGTCAATTTCTGGCCAATGCTCAATGTCTGGAATTGAGTTGATGGCATGTGAATAACATTGTTTGTAGGCTGCAACTGAGTACCATGTGCTAACATACTTATGAGGATCATGTCCTGCAGCTAGTATAGCCCTTAATGCATGCCTACAAGGGATGCCTGAAATTTGTCAAGCCCCACATATACAACTTCTATTATTGAGTGACACCGGGAGCATTGACTTACCCTCTCTTATTTCATATTCTCCCTCTTTACTCTGGAATGCCTTGCAAGTTCTGGAAGCATTGATCAGCATTTGGATTCTCCTTACAATGGTTGAACATGGATCAGAATCATTCCAATCTTTACATTTCTGTCTTCTAGTTGACATCCTTACCATATACATTCTTCGTATGCCTGCAAAAACCACATATAACCAAGCATAAAATTCAACATAAGAACCAATTTATATTTACAAAAATAAGGATTAAGAAAGACATAAATTTTTACCTTCCAAAAGAGTCAGAACAGGTCTGCATCTGTCCACTCCCAAAGTGGCATTGAAACTCTCGACAAAGTTAGTTTTATTCTCATTTGTGCATATCTTTGGGTCAAACTTGTGTCTTCCCACCTCTCTTGATCTCCTAGATTAGCTAACCATTTTAGTGCCAAGTGGTTTGTCTTCTGAATTCTTTCCATAGCCTTTTTAAAGGTGAATGTTGAAGTAGCACTACATGCCAACCAAAATAAGGAGTGCATCAAGGGTCTTGGAAAAGCTGATTTCCAGTTTTTAGCTAAGTGCTTGCAGTAATACCTCCTCCCTACTTTTGGCCATAGCTCAGTTAAAGCAAGATCTATTCCCTACAAGAACACATAATGAAGAAATTAACACTAGTAGAGTATACTTACTGAAATTAAGCCAACATATGAGACACTAACCTTTTGCCTGTCAGATATAATGCACCAATCATCCCCTCTATTTAAGTCTTTCAAGATTTGCTTCAAATGCCAAATGAAAAACTTCCAGTTCTCCCCATCTTCAACTAAAACTATATCCCATGCAAATGGATGTAGCTCATTATTTGCATCTATAGCCACTGCAGATAGCAAAACCCCTCCATAGTTCCCTTTCAAATGAGCACCATCAACCCCAATCAAACTTCTACAACCTGCACCAAGCCCATCTATTGCTCCCTTGAATGATATGAAAATGCTAGAGAAAGTGAGTGACAGTTGGGGATCATTCTTTCTCCATGCACAGTTAGCTGCTGAACCAGGATTAGTTTGCTTAACCATTTCACAGTACCTAGGAAAATGGCCATAAGACTCATCATGCCCACCATTGATCTCCCTAAGAGCAATACTCCTCATTTTATAGAGTGTACTAGTGGCCATATGCACCACATACCTGGTCCACAACAAGTCATTCAAAGTTTTCCCAGTTATATCATTGTTTGCCCTTATATCATCAATTAGCTTACTTGCAGCCCACTTCACATTAACTAAAGGATTCCTCTCATCCAAACCCCTACAAGTGTGCTCTAAATCTTTTGTACTCGTTATGGCCCAAGTAGTGCCATCAGGGAGTACACTTGAATGTATCCTCCAATTACAGTTCAATTCCAAGCACTGAGCAGTGAATCTAGTTGGACTAGATCTATCCACTACAATAGCAAACCCAGATTGTATACAGTAATCTCTTATAACAGATAGGAAATGTGCTTTATCAGTAAATATCATCCATGGTTTCAAAACAATACTTCCAAACTCAACATTTTCAGCAAATTCTCCATTCTTGTACATTTTACTGACATAAGTGTCATCATCAAGTAGTTCAGTTTGCAGTACATCAGATGCATAAGAATCATAATTGTCAATGATCTCACCAAATTCCTGTTCTTCTTCATCTGAGACACCACCTCTTTCAAAATATATGTCTAAATCTTCATCTCCAATGTCAGCATTCATTTCTGGCCGTAAAGTTTCTCCATGATCAAACCTCCTATTAAACTCCTCTTCAGTAATCACTTGAGCCTCTTTTTCATATGGTGTGTTCCACAAGCCCTTCCTAGCAGCAGTAGTCTTAAGTATTTTATGAACAATCAAGGCTGTGTTATTTGATGAGGTTGGATTCAGGGTAGTTTTTTCAAGCAAAGGAGCATTGGAAAAAGTAGTAGTGTCAGCTAGAGTAAGTGGCTCATTAGTAAGTAAACTTCTTTGAATAGGTAACTTAACCCTAGGCTTAGGATTGCCCCGTCCCCCCTTTCCCTTCTTTTTATGTGTCTTACATCCACTGGCTTCCTCTTCCATTCTTTCCCAATTGTCTATAAGTGTTTCATTTAACCTAGGTGGACTAACATCAAGCATGTCACTAGTCCCAACATCAAAGCTTTGGTTGTTTTTCATAGGTGGACTTAGACTATAATGCATATTGGGTTTGTTTTTCAATGACTCTGTAAGATTCCTAGCTGCAACTACACATTCAGAAGGTGTTTCAACTGAAACCACATACACTGTAATCACTTTCTTACTTCCTCCTATTCTATCTAACATAGACATTAAATCACCGTCACTAGTAATTTTAACATCCTTCTTATTATAACAGTAATGGAAACTAGGATATTTAGGCATCATATACCCATTTTTCCTAAACAATTCCTCATACTCAATAATCAAATCAATCCACATTACTTTATCAACATCATCAACATTAATATCAACCACATTCTCGGCCGTTTGAAATTTTAACACAATTGAGTCCATTCTGCAACATTAAACCATACACACAAAAATTCCAAATAAATCAAGGGAATGCTCAATAAAATTCTCAAAACTAAGCTAGCTGCAAATCGCAAAAAAAAAAAAAAAAAAAAAAAAAAAAAAAAAAACAGAGTATTCAGATAATTTAGCATGCATATATGAGCAAAATTCAAAATTTATTGAAAATATCTTCAACTGATTACCTGGAAGATGTTTAACACATTAATGTTCAGTCGCAAACCATTATTTTGCAATGTATCCAACAGCAAACCCTAGGCGTCGATTTGAATACTCAATCGCAAAATTGCCAAAAAATACAACACAAAACAGAGAGAACTTTGTGCAACATCTGTAAATAATCAATTTACGTTCTTAAAATTTGCTCAATTTCAACGAGTTTGAAGTATTGTTATAGATTGCACTTTGAATTTTAGGGAAGAAGATGAACAGGTATATTGATCATCAGTGTGTGAAATGATAGGGCGGTGGAAGAATATAGTCAGCATTAATGAAATAAGAGGAAAGGATTAGAAATAGGGGTAGGTTAGTAAATTCATAAATTAGAGTTAATAAAGTCAACCTTAGTGAGTGGTTAATCAATTCTAAGAGAGATTTGGCCACTAAATAGAGTTTAATGAAAGTTTGGGTTCACTAGAGATTATGTGTTATTTTTTTTTTTTTTTTTGACACCATATAGAATTTGTAAAAGTTGGAGGCCACCACGTAGAATTTCCCAAAAATATATATACAACACCTCATCCTCAAACTTCTCCTCTCCCAAAAACAAAAAAAAAAAAAACCCATAAATTTTTTGACTTATACCAACAAAAATAAAATCAACAAATTATTTTTTACCACTAAAATTTTTAAAAGTTTTGTTTTGGCGGTAAAAGAAAAAAAATCCAAAAATCATCGTACTTGGAAACTGAAAACAGCTTCTTTGAAAGACCGCCAATTATACCAAAACCCCAAAGAGAAACCCAAAAAATAACCAGCAAAAATTGAAAAAATGGAGTTGAAATGCAACGATGTGAAGATCTGGAAAGAGGCTCTAACTTCCTACCAATCTCGCATTCTCTCTCTTAGTCTCAACAAACCAAAGCTTGTTTCCCTTGATGATTTCTACCGTACTCAACTTCCTTCACTCATTCATTCCCGCCTCCCTACTCCCTACCTCACCCAATCCGAGCTCCACTCCCTCATGCAATGGAAGCTCACCCGCGGCAAATTCAGGTAACTCGCTTTATTATCATTACGAGTAGTTGGTTAAAGTTTCCGGGTGGTACCCAAGACTTGAGATCAAATTTATGGGATAGTTAAAGTTTCTTCCGGTTTTAGAAGATTTTGGAATTGATTCTCGTTATTCGCCTTTATGACTATCTAAACACAAATTAGTTGGTTAAAGTTTTTACGGGTAGTAGCCAAAACCTGTGATTAAAACCCGCTAAAGTTATTGTTATTAATAGCTCCGTATTCAGACCAAAGATTAATGTATCTGAATTTGATTATAATTGGATTGTTTTAATTCAAATCAATAGAGTTTTAATATTTAATTTTTTATTTTTTTTCCCAATTTCTCTGGTTTTTGTAGACCAAGGTTACTGGGTTTTGTGGCGGCTCTTGATGAAGAACTTGTGAAATCTGCGTCTCAAAAAGCGTTTCTTTCTCTGCCGGATGATTTATCTAAAGCGGTTTCGGAACTTACAGTTCTTAAAGGTATCGGGCCAGCCACTGCCTCTGCTATCCTCGCCGCCTATGCCCCTGACCTTGCTCCATTTATGTCCGATGAGGTATTGTTGTGTATATTTTAAAACCTTTGTCATGTAAATTGATGTTCCATAACATCTTAAGAAGCTGGTATAGCAGATTGTTGGATTATTAATGAATTTAGTACTTGATAAGATCATTGAGGTTTTAGGTTCTAGCTCAAGCAAAGGTATCCTAAATTGTGTAAAAAAAAATGATGTTGAATTTTCGAACGAAATTATTCTAACTGAATTTGAATGTTTGCCTGTTTGCCAATAGTCACTAGTGTGGCAAAAATATGCAGTTGCTACATGAGTTTAGCAGGAAATTTCATTTTTATTGAATTTGCCTGTAAACTTCTATAGTTTGTTTTTGTTGCCCTTAGCATTTGAAATCTGTATGTTTGGTTGTCAAGTCATTTACAATGTGTTTTATGGTTAATCTTTAGGCTATGGAAGCCGTGTTGAGTCAATCAAAAGATTACTCGTTGAAACAATATCTTCTGCTTGCCAACAAGTTAAGAGAGAAGGCAAAGGTTGGTGTTCTATGTTTTTTTTTCATGGTGCTTGATTTTTCATGATGTATTAAGTAGGAAAATAGGATTAATTAGATAATAAAATGAAGAATTGAGTATGACCTTTCTTTGAGAAGGGGAATCGACTTGACTAAGTCACAATGAGCTATATAGTTAAAAACTAAACAAAGATCAATTACATATTTACAAACAAGTCTTGATGCTGAGATCAATATTCAGATGGTCAGTCGTGTTATTGTGTTTTGCTCGAGTATCAGATTTCATTTTTGCATTCATATATATTTTGATGATGATGGCAATATAAAAAAAAATAATAATAAAAAAAAAAAAAAAAAAAAAAAAAAAAAAACATGGGTTGATGATGGAAGGGGAATATATACGCACATCTTTGACCTTTTGGTAGAATCCTTATGTTGATACATTTATGTCCAAGATCTTTTATATATAATTTATTATTAGAATTGCCAGATGATCTTTCCTTATATGGTATCTAAGTCTGTTACATCAACCAATATCTGAAGGAAATGAATGTCAATGTAAAATCACTTATGCTATGTTTGGATAACAAATTAGAAGGGAAATGGAAGGGAGGGAATAGGAGGAAGCGGAAGGAAGGGAAAGTGGAGGAAATGATGAGCTCCATTTTTCCTTCAAATCTCTCCAATTTTGAAGGGATGGTCTTTATTAACACTTTGTTTGGATAGCAAAGAAGGAAGGAAAAGAAGGGGAGGGAAAATGGAGGAAGGGAAGGGAAAAGAAAGGTAGGGGGAGGTGAGCTCCATTTTCCCTCCAAATCTCTCCAATTTTGGAGAGATTATGGTTATTAAAGAGAGAGGGAAAATGAATCCCTCCCTCTCCTTCCCCTTCCTTCCCCCAATCTTTTACCCAAACAAGAGATCTTGTCCCCCTCCATTTCTCTTCTCTTCTTTTCCTTCCATTTCTTCCTATCCAAACAAAGTGTAAAGGAGGATGGAAAATGGATCCCTCCCTCCCCCTCCCCTTCCCTCCCCCAACATATTATTTAAACAAGGAAGTTTGTCTCCCTCCCTTTCCCTTCCCTTCCTTTCCTTCCATTTTTTGTTATCCAAACATAGCCTTAAGCGACAATAATAATCTTATATCACATAAGTGTATCTTGTAATTTAGCAATGAGTTTGTTACAAATGTTTGTAATTGAAGCTTATTTATCTGTCCTGTGACATTTGAGTCAATTTGTTCCTTTGAGTGAATGTATTGAAGGCTTGTATCTTCAAATTTGGATCTTCTTGTTCTATCACCTATCTCCAATTACAAATCTATTGCAACTTTTATCTAAATTTCTCCAAGTTCACTATTTAATACGGAGTACTATTGTTTATTTCTTGGCAAAAATTATATAAATAAGCTGAGTACTTGCTGTCAATCATAGACGATTATATAAAAAAATTCCACTATACTCCTGACTTGACTAAAACATGTCAAGTTGATGTTAGAAGTTATTCAGCTACTTCCATCTTGTGAATATTTAGTCGAACTTGCTGCTCTTCCAGTTATTTGTCTATGCTACGCATCATCAATTATCGCCATACTGCAATGAGTTAACATGTAGTTAATCCAAAAAAATGCTTCTGGGGTCTCCCTAAATTTCAACCTTAAAATCAAAATACATGTATTAAAGGTTTTGATCAACATAACCTTTTTGGCGTCTGTCCTCATTGCATACGTTAGTTTTCTTTTATCAATAGGTTAATTGCCTGTCATTTCAGGAATTAAGTTCAGAAGATGAGCAATTCACAGCATCCGATGTGGAAAGGGCTCTCTGGAGCTCTGCTGTTGGAGCTAAACTGACTGCTTCCTCTGCAAAGGCGCAACAAGATACTTCAACGAAATCTTCTGGGATAAAAAGAAAAAATTCTGCTTAACTCTTGCTGTTAGAATGATGTCAAGGATTTGTGCCAATACTCGATTCACAGGTCACACTAGAAAATTAGCCTTCGTTTTGGTAGCTGAAACTGTTACTTTTAAATTCTGATAAATTAGCTGCTGCGGTTGTGGTTTTAGGATGTTTAAGACGTACTTTCTGCTAAGTTTGCTAACAAACTTGACAGTGGTTAGAAATAGCTATCAACAGCGTTTATGTACTTGATGTATGTAACAAACTTGTTTAATCTTCTCCTGCTCCAGCTCCTATCACTATTCACTACTACAAAAATGCCCAATTAACAGTGGTTAGAAATAGCTGTTAGCATGTTAACAGTGGTTGTCATCCTTGTCAACTGTTTTAGAGTAAGTGATGTTGTAGGAGGGGGTAACATTCTACAATGGTTGGGACCTGGAGAACCATATAATGATTGGGGTAGGTTGATCCGTTAAAAGAAAGGGAAAAAAAAAAATTAAATTAAGTGCAAGATTGTTGAATTAGAATGTAAACCTTAATTAAGTATAACTATACTTCTACCCAAAAAAAAAAAAAAAAAAAAAGTACTATAACTATACATCCCTATTACTACCTCCGTTACATATTATTTGCAACGATTTGACATAAAATAGAAAGAAAAAATGTCTAATCGTTGCAAATAATATGTAACGGAGGTAGTATATAAGTCAAGGGATGTTGTGGACTTGTGGTGTTCTTCTAAAATCACTTTATTTTTTCACAAATTCTTGGTCTATGACTATGTGTCACGTATGTCCCTTTTTACACTTGCATACTAAAGTAGTTTGAACATTGAATCTCATTGAATATAAACCTCACTTATGAGTTAGGCCAAATGACCATGTACACCCGGTTAAAATACATGATTTATAAAAACGTGGAAAGAACATTGTATACAAATACAAGTACACGAGAAAAAAAAAAAATCAAAACGATTCTCCTCTTGATTTTAAAGATTGATTTATTATTTTTATTCCTTGATTCATTATTTACATTTCATATTACTTTTGATATACAAAATTTCATTTTTTTTGTTAAGAGAAAGAAATTGGGTTTATAGAGAGAGAAACTATGGTAAATTTTGAATTTCAAAGTGATTTAATGTTATTTCGGAGTTGATTTTATCGTTTTGATGAATCATTTAATTGAAACATCGATGTAATTGACAAATTCGTTATTGAGAAAAAGGTATTTTCAAATATTTTTTGTTATCAATTTTTTGTGTTTTGGTGTTATTTTCTAAGGTTGAAGATGATGTTCTTCCTATTTTGATGAATGTTCTTTTATCATTTTTTTTAATTGCAATGAAATATGTTTTTTTTTTTAAGTCTAATCAATATGTTCTTTGAGTCCAAACTATATGTTCTTTATAATACAAACAATGTTCTTTAAGGTAATATATATTAGTCATGTTCTTTGGTTATAATAATGCAAATTATTTTCTTTGGGTATAATAATACAAATTATGTTCTTTTTACTTATATAACTAGATTAGTACTCGTGCGTTACACGGTGGTTGATCAGTAATTTTCTATAATTATTTATCTTTTGTTGTTGATAACTGTCTAATATGATTTGGCTCGTTATTTTTTTTATAAAAAAATTGTTATATAAATATATATATATATATATAAACATGTACTTAAAAAAAATAGTTATAAAATGTTGCATCGTAATGTAATATTTACTATGTTATTAAAAATATATTAAAATGATGGTTAGATTAAATATATTAATGTTGTATAAATGTATAATTCATTAAGCTTATACGTTTAGAGTGAAAGCTAAATAAATGTGTACTTACTATTAAAAAAAATTAAAAAATATGTATTAATTTGTTCAAAAAAAATGTGTATAATTAGCTACCAATATCTATGTCTATTTAATATTGTTGTATTATGAATATCCAAAAGTAGTGTGGAGTATATACATCAATATTGATGTCAAATTCAAATTTCACACCTAATTGGTCCTAGTTTCTAGCTAGAAAAGGCACCAAAAAAAAAAAAAAAAAGGATGACATCATAGGTAAAATTTGGAGGGAAATTTTTTTATGAGAGTTTGACACGTAAGCACTTTAAGAAATTGATGAAATCATCAATGTTTTGTTTTAGTAATAGTTAATAGATATGTTCTTATATTTTGAATTTCGAATTTTTGAAATTTAAGAAAAAATTAAATTATATTTGTGTAAAATTAATTTTAGATAGAAATTTTTTTGATATCTGAATACTTTCTAATTCAAATGTAATATTTTTAAATGATTTGACATTAAATTATTGGTAAAAATCAATTCATAATTATGTTTTCTTTTTGATAATAAGTATCTCATAATATAATGTGTTTTTTTATATTTCAGTGATATGTTCTTTTATAAAATCATGATGTACTTTAAAATTATTTGCTATGCTCTTTCCGTTTTAATCTGGGTGTACCATGCACGTGTTTACAAACTACCAATTGCCATATTGGTAAATAAAAAAAACTCGTAGCGGTAATTTGGTAAAAAAAGCTTACTCCGACAACAGTTCAGTAAAAACAATAAATTACGACGACATTTAGACCAAAAAATCTATTTTTTTCCGACAAACTCTTTAAAAATCCTAATTTTAATTTATTTTAAAAAATCTCCTTTATATTTTGCTAAAATTCGATACCACATTTATTTCCAACTCCTTTTAAAAACATTTCGTTAATAGGTGGTATGAAACTTAAGTGAAAATTGATCTTAACATGTTTTTTTTTTTCCATATAAAGGGTTGATAAAAAAAAATCACGAAAAACGAACTAAATTGAGTATTCACGAGTAATTTGTTGGAATTTTTTGTATTTTTGGGTTAAATGTTGCTTGAGATAATTTTATTTACCAAATTGTCGCTTATGGCTAACTTTTTTTTACCAAATTGTCGCCGGAGCTATTTTGTTTTACCAAATTGTCACTAAAAGTCTTTTTCATTTACCAATATGGTCAATTGGCCCTTATGAGTTATGACCATCTTAACTAGAAATAAACCATGCTGTAATAATCCTCACAAATATCCCAACTTCCTAATTTATCACAATATACATCATTTATCTATTGAATTTACTTATTTGAAAATTTTGTCAAAAACCACAATTTAAATTATTATTTTTGTAAAAAACTAATTTTGAAAAAAAAAAAGTTGTTAAAAACCATCAAATTTGAATTTTTTTTTTTCCCACTTGATGGAGGAAAATGAACTTTGACTAACTCACAAATCAATCATAATTTGTTTCATTGTTGGTTACTTGGTGGTGAATTACAACAACAAAAATTTGACTTTAATAGGTTTTTACGACATCTATTAATTATTACTAAACAAAACATTACTAACATCATCAATGCCTAATTTATCTAACGTGTTATTTTCACGTTAAAAAACTAGATTAACTCCCGTGCGATACACGAATATAATGAAAGAATTTATAATTATGTAAACTTCAAAGACATATCAGTCAAAATATGTAAAATCTTTGTATTACATACGATATTATTAATATAAACCAAACTACAAAAATTAAAATAATATAAACAAAAGAAAATTCATGTCTACAAAAATAAAATTTTGCAAACTTAATTAAAATAGAGTAATCACATATATAAAGGTTGATGTTTGTTTTCCTTAAGATTTTTAAAAGGTTTTTAAAAGAAAAAGTATTGACAACTAAAAAGTTTAATGTATTGTATTAAACTACATTGCAATCAGTACTTAGTTTTTTTTTTTTTTTTGAAAGAAAAAAAAAGTTTAGGCGGGAAAAAAAATGAATGAGAAGCTGACACGTGTACAACTTGAAAAAAGTAATGAATTCAGCGGTTGTTACTTTAGTAATATTTACTAGATTAGTGCCCATGCATCGCACGATAGTAACAATTTTTTTCCATAATTAATTTGTGATATAATATAGAAAAAAAATGAGGCAATTTATATGAAATATGCAAATGTAGTATACATTATATTGCATTAATGATGCATGTTTATACAATGTACTTTTAAAAAATGTGCTAAGTAAAAAAACAAAAAAAAAATTAACGATGACATCATATATTGTTTTGGCGGGAAAATTTTTAATGATAGTTTGACATGTATCAAAAATGATGTAAGCATGTTTTGTTTTAGTATTAGTTAAAAGATTTATAGATTTCCCTTCATTTCTCTATGTGATGTCATCAATTATGAACTTTTTTTTTTGTAAATTCTACATTATACATTATATTTTTTTTAAATTCTCTTTTACATAAATGATAAAAACTACTCCGTATTTTTTATGCATAGTAATAAAATTATTTAAACTGTGTAACACACGAGTCTAATCTATTTTTTTTTAAAGATGGGTTTTCACAAAACAAGGATTTAAAAGGTGATTTTTGACAAAATTTTATTATTATTATTATTATTATTATTATTATTATTATTATTTTGGGTTAGAAAATCGAAGAGGAAAGAAAACGATAATGGAGATTAGAATCTTAGTCTTTTTATTTTGGGATGATTTACATAAATATGGTTACTTGAAAACTTATTTACACTTTTATGTAGGAATGAAATTTAATCACGGAATTATTATCCACGTAGGCTCGGATAAGGGTTTTTTTTTTTTTTTTTTTTTTTTTTTTTTTTCTCAGAGTAAAAGCGCTACCTCAAGTAGCGGTTTATGTACTACCCTTTATAAATTTCTACTCCATATCTTTACTTGTAGTATTAAAGACAAACCGCTACCTTGTCTCTAAATTAAAAATTACTCCAAATGTATTCCCGAGCCTATGTGGACTGTATTTTCGTAAATAAGTTTTATTCTAACGCAAAATCGTAAATAAGTTTTTTAAAAGCTATATTTTTGTAAATCATCCTTTTATTTGTTCTAAAAATCTATTTTACAAATGGCTCTTTAATTTTTATTTGATATTAATGGGTTGTCAATGAAAGCCCTTAATTGCCCAATATGTTAAAGGGTCTGTTCACATTTACTGAACTGAGTTGAAATGAATATTTTACGAGAGAAGAAAATTAAGAACTGAACTGATTGGAATTGAATTGAACTGATATTAAGCTGAAGTGAATAGACCTAAAGCTCTTAAGTGACCATGTCCATTAAGATATTAAAGGGTTTAGAAGACTCGATTGACTGATTGAGCACAAGCATTTTCTATCAAGTCTAGCTCAAACATGCTATTACAAGTAGTACTTGTTGACATTCCTCCTTCATCGTAAATTTGTCAGCATGGTCGAGCTCGAGCATTCCTCATCAAGTCTAGCACAAAAAAGCTAACTATATATCCGACTCGTTGACATTCCGAAGTAAAGAACTAAAGACGTTCATCATAATCCGCCCATTGTCAGGTGTCGTCTTCAATCTCTCCACCACCATTGTCGGCGCTGGAATCATGACTCTGCCCGCAACCTTCAAGTAACTCGGTCTTATTCCCGTCGTAACCTTAATTATCCTTGCTGCGTTCATGACTGAATTCTCAATCGATATGATTCTTCGATTCAGTAAGGTTGACCGTGATGGATAACCGAATTTCAGCCCACGGTAACCGGCGTGGAAAACCGGTTGACCACCACGACCAACCGGTGTTCAAAACTGGTCAACCTCTCCGGTCAACCAGCGCACAAAACTGGTCAACCTCTCCGGTCAACCTTCGTCAAAAATCAAGTTTTTGCCTCAAATTTAAATTGCGAAATCATACTTGTTCAAAAGCTGACGATTGAGATTACGGTTGGTTTTCCGACGAATCACCGTGATTATCATCCATTTCTGATAACTTTTTTGTTCGTGGTGGTGGTCCAATCTAGGTAATTGACGCGGTAATTGTAGTCGATTAATTAAAGTTAGAAAAATTAAAAAAAAAAACAATTAGGTAAATATTTAATTATTTATTAAGGGCAAGAAAGGCCTTTTACTTTAAATGATGACGGGTTTTTATCATTATGGATGGCGTTATTATAATCCGGCCAAATTATCTCTACTCGATGAATCCACGTGGTCACCACCAATTGGTCATCATCCACAAAACCCGCATTAATCACCAAAAATCCCTTCCCGCTCAAACACCCCACTTCCCCAAATCTCCCCTCCCCTAAATTCTCTCCCTATCTCTCCTCCCCCTTCCAAAATGTCCCTGACCTCCGCCTTCGCCGGCGACCGTAAATTCCGGTGGGGGCGAAGCCCAAAAACTCCCCTCCTCCCCGAAAACCACCACTACTACGACAAACACCACCACCCTCGCAGCGCCGAACACGCCGAAGGCTTCGACGGCGCCTCATTCTCAGGTGCCGTCTTCAATCTATCCACCACCATTGTCGGCGCCGGAATCATGGCTCTTCCCGCAACCTTCAAGCAGCTCGGCCTTATCCCTGGTGTAACCCTAATTATCCTTGCTGCGTTTATGACTGAATTCTCAATCGATATGATTCTTCGATTCAGTAAGGCGTCTAAGTCTAACTCTTACTCTTCTGTTGCTGGTGATGCTTTCGGCGTTTTCGGTCGTACTGTCTCGCAAGTTTGCATTATTGTAAACAATCTTGGGCTGCTGGTCGTCTATTTGATCATCATTGGTACCATTCTTATTCTCATTTTCGGGAATTCAAATGATTTTGTTATAAATTGTTACAGAATCAGTACAAAATTACGATTCGATTGGTGTTTTACTTATTTGATTTGATTTGTTGGTTTGAATTTTATCTATTTCTATTGGGAAACAGGGGATGTGTTGGCCGGAACGGCGACAAAGGGATTATCACACCATAAAGGACTAATGGAGGAATGGTTTGGACAACAATGGTGGTGGACGTCACGCTCAATTTGGCTAGTTCTCACAACATGTTTTGTTATTGCGCCTCTCATTTCATTTAAGCGTGTCGGTGAGTAATCCTATCCTTTTTGTTTGATTGATTACTTATTTAGTTATTTGTTAATGCAAGGCAAATTGGATATATGATTGCGAAGTTGATATATACTCTATTAAAGTATTAATTACAAATGGAGGAGGGGATTCGAAACTATGACATATTGTAAACAAGTACTTAGTCTTTGTCACAGCATTGGCATTATGATTGTAGTAAAAGTTAGTTGCTTTTGAGGTGTAAGGTAACCAAAATGATTTGACCAACTACATGTTCTTCAGTCTTTATCTTCAGAATTGTTATTGTTATTGTTATCTTATCAGGCATTTTAACTCTTAACAGACTGTTGGGTGTAACTTCTTTTGTTTAAAATATGTAAAGCGTAATCTAGAACTTTTATCTATGAGGGTGGTGTGAAAAGCCATAGTACTAGTATTAAATTAGAGTAGGCTATTCTTTAAGTGTGCTAAGGGATTACCAATTCTGAATTGATGCCGGTTTTGCCTAGATCTTGTGGTACCTTGATGTGGTTACAGCAAGAGTAGTTGACGGCTAGATTGGGAAAAAAAAAATTGTAGTAAACACATGCCTTGCGAGATTTATTATCTTATAAAGACATAGAGTAATTATTTAATTGTATTTGGTTGGTCTACAGTAATATTGATGTTAAGGCATGACACAAAGATGACATTAATGCAAATCTTACAATAGTTTTTTGGTTTGTAGTTGTTTAGATAATAAGGTTCTTAAATATCTTAATATGGTCATTTAATATTAAATAAGATGGTCATTAGTCTCTTAAAATACCAGCTTTTAGACTGATACTAATAATTCTGTTATTGCAATGGTGTCTGATTCATTAATCCCACTCTCAACAAGAGAGTAATGGGATAATGGTTATGATTTCTATAGTGTTTCTAGATGGTGCATTTGTTGCATATTACAATTAATTCTTCATTGCAGTATTAGAGGCTTGAACTTTACATGATGCAAATATTTTGTGTGAGAAAATAATAAATATTTCTTATGAAGTATTTTGGAGAGTTAAGACTAGGAATTTTCTGTTATTTACCCCAAAAAAAAAGAAAATTCTGAAGAGTTAAGACTTAATATAAAAAAACAACTGATGTTACTTGTGTTATAGCTGATTACCACTTGTAACAACCTTCTAATTGGTTCTATCAACTTTTAAAATAATATATAATTTTGGTCGTGATGGTGGGAAATTTAAATGATGCATTGTTTGCAGAGTGCAGACTGTGTTGCTGCTGTCACAATACGCAAATTCTTGTAGGATTATATAATAATTGTACACTATTAGATAAGTTAGAGTAGACTATTACTTAGAGCCACTATTGAGGAGACATAGGGATCTTTCACTTTATCTCTAAATAACAAGTTTTTTTTTGAGTGAAAAACAGGATGCAATGTTCAATGCGAGGGTTAAAACATCTAATTCGGCTGAGACCTCAGGTTTTGGAAACACTTATATTGAACCAGTTGACTTTGGCAAAAATCCCCTTACTATACAGTCAATCAGAAACTATGTGGCAGTATTTTTGTGCCATGCTATCAACTTCTGTTAAGTGTGTGTTGATCTGGAGCAGAGGATATTGAGTTTCAAGATTCTGAATGTTTCAAGGCTTTAAACCCTTTCATTAAGATAGCCAAGACTCCAAAGGGTTACCACCTTATGGTCAATAATGTCTTTTTCAATGTTGCTGGAAAACACAGCAACTGAAAGTTTGCAAATGCTGATTAGATATTTAGATTAGCGTTAATTGTGAAGGACCTTATCGAACTTTTTTGTTTTGGTCTAGATAGAACTTGGTGACGATATAACCTAGTGTGTGGCAGCTAACATTTATGTGCCTCTAGAAAAATCAGTTATTGTGGTGAGAAAATATGTGTAGCCAGTACGAGTAAGGCCCTGTTCTATTCACATTAAAAAAATAATATTAAGTAAAAATAAGTTCAATTCAGTAAAATTAATTTCAATTGAGTAAAAATAAGTTCAATTCAGTAAAAATAAGTTCAGTTCAGTAAAATTCAGTTTTCTTAAAGAAGAATTATAATAGAAAATCAGTAAAAATAATTTCAGTTCAGCAAAAATAATTTCAGTTCAGTAAAATTAATTTAAGTTCAGTAAAAATAATTTAAGTTCAGCAAAAATAATTTCAGTTCAGTAAAAATAATTCCAGTTCAGTAAAATTAAGGTGAATAGAACAGGGCCTAACAATGTAATATTAGTATACAGACCCTATATATCAATATTAAGTTATAAACATATTTCAATGAAGCTGGAACTGAAACAATGTAGGTGAAATCTTCCTTTACGGCACTGATAACCACACACACACACACACACAAAAAAAAAAAAAAAGGTAGCTTCATGATTCTGAACATTTCAATGCTCTAAGCCCTTTCATCAGGATAGCCTAAGAAACTATAGGCTTACCACCCTATGGTAAATTTTATGTCTTTTATCAAAGTTGCTGGGAAGTTGAAAGTTTGCAAATGTTGAAGTTTTGTGAAGGACCTCGTATGATTTTTTTTAGTTTTGGTCAAGAACTGAAGTTAGAACTTGGTGACCTTATAATTAAATGTATGGCAGCTAATTTTTAAGTGCCTCTAGAAAAATCAGTTTATAATCTTATATGGTAAGAAAATGTGTAGCCATGACGACTAGCAATGTAAAATTAGGATAAGGACCCTGTATATCAATATAAACAAGGAACTGAAAGAATGTAGATGAAATCTTCCTTTAGGGAATTGGGAAAAGAAAAAAAAATTGTGAAGTTTTGTATGCCTATGTATCTGAAACAGATCCAGTCAGTCAATAGGAAGATGAAAGCCATGAAACCATTATTGAACTATAAATAGTTTACTACAAAAAATCTTATCCAGGCCACAACTTGAAATTTCCAGTGCTTCTCTCTGTTCGGTGATTCATAATCTGCAGTCTTTTCCATAAGGTCCCCTACCAAGAGCTACAAGAATGCATTTTAAAGGAACCTGAATAGGCTGAATTAGACATTGAGAAGGTGTGCAAACAACATTTAATTGCAATTATTTGGTTATTTTGCTGGCATAAATGAGGTAAGATGGATTGTGACACATGAAGTACTCAAAATAAGTTCAGGTAAATTTCATTTATAACAACATGCTAGACAGAAGCTTTCGTTCCATTCTGTATAGTAGCTGTACTAGGTTAATAAGGTTTATGTTGGTCGTCAATCAAATGAACTATGGTGTAATATGATCAGAGATTCCACTGTCTATGATCCACTTGTGTGAAGCTAAACAACGACAATTACCTGCTCTTGTGCTTTTGATCACCATTATGAGATGTGGCTGAGAAGAGTGGACTGATAGTCTGATACTGCTCCCCAGAATAAAAACCCAAGAATTGTACAAGACTTCTAGTCACTAGTCAGACCCCTTTTCTGAATATGCTGACACTGGCTGATTTTTAGAGCATTGATTGCACAATAAAAGCCTTCCTCTTGTTTTTGGCAAACTTCTATTTTGAATGCAGTTTAAATAATCTTTCAGTAGAATGCTTGCAATCTTATAGCAAACATTAGAGCTCATTTAAAAAAAAAAAAAAAAAAAAAATTCCAGAATTGTTATTAATTCCTTAATTCCAACCAGAACCAAATCTGGATTTGTGTTGTTTGTAAAATACCGTAGTGGAAGATTCCACACTGAAAGAAGAGACTGATATTTCATTTTTTTTTAAAGCTTGAATAAGCAAAAATCTTATGAAGTGTCATGTTTGTACCCATTTCAAAGTATTGAAATTCTGGCACGAGCATTTGAGGCATTAATATTGGGAATAAAGTGAGTAAACAGTGTCCATATGTTGCTATTTTCTGAGCATTTTACTAGTGCAATGCAAGAGCCAGTAGGAACCATCCAAATATTCTAACTATTAATTCTTGATATGAGTGAAATAGCCACAATTGATATCTGATCCCTTTAATGAGCTTTTCTTACTTTGGTACAGTTGTGCATCATTGGCTTTTGCCAAATCTCTCACACAACTCGTATTTGAAAAATACTCTTTCCAATGTTCTTAGTCACGTATTAGTGATCTTAGATGTAACCACATCATTACAATTTTGCCATTTTCTATATGAGCTAGATGCTAATTTTTGAATGTCACTGTCAAGAAGAATAATTTTAGCTATGTTGATGAGTAATTTAGTATTGATCTCTTATAAGGAGTTGACTGCTAGAGTTTAGTAAGAGATTCAGTGAGATAACAAGCTAGAATGATAGAAACAATGGCAGCCAAGGGAATGATAGTAGTATTATTGAATAGAGTATCCAACAATACAGCCTTCTTTCGAGAGGAAGGAGCTCTCCCAAAACAACTTTCTTAATTAATTTCTCGATACATTCCCCTTTAACCAATCACCTATTAATACCCAAAAAATTATGCCAAAAACAAACTTAAGCACACCATAAGCATGCCAGCCAGAGATTGCCAATCTACCCTTTTCCCCAAAACTGAATTTAACCACCTGACAACTCAGCAAACTTCTGGCTATTTCTTGATCCTTCTAGCATAAGTGAAACAGATATTAGGCTTAGGCTGAGTCCTTGCATTGACCTAGTGTTGTTAAAGAAACTGAATCCAAGCAATTCCCTGCGTTTTCAAAGGAATGAAGATTGTAGAGATCAATCATTGTTCTAAGTATACAATTATAATCATATATTTATTGTTAATACGGAGGTGATTAAACTGATTACATTGTATACTCTCATTGTTGTTGTTATTATTGTTGTTTTTTTTTCATAAAAGTGGATTTAATTAATGATATACTTTAATCAAATGACATATGAGATTAGTTTTGAGAAGAAAAATTGTTTTAGGCTAGAGTGCTAGACCAATTGGAGGAATCACCTATGAAACTTGAGGTTCCAAATTTGCACAAGAAACTGCAACATGCAAAGACATCCAGATGAGAATCATGTTGCCAGATTTTCCACTCGCTCTATTGCCATTAAACATTTCAAATAACAAAGTACGTAATACTTGAAATTTTTAGGAGAAGCTTGAACTTGACATGTTGCAAAAAGTTTTTTCATGAGAAAAGAGAAGAATTTGGAATTTTCTTTGGGAACAAATTGAAACTGTACTGTGTACATCATATACAATTGAATAATTGATGCTTAAGTGTATCAAAGTGAACAAACACTTAAAGAGATTTATACTGTAGCATAAGACATAGGACAACATATTTTATGCAATACACAAATCTTTCTCTGGTTATGTCATGAAAAATTCAGCTTGGTGAAGTTAAGACAAATATTACTAGTGAAGTGCATTTTTTGACTTGTAAATTACACAGAAATCATATTCTTTTTATCTATTTTATGATCAAAAGATTTTAATAGTTTTTATCTTTTTACATTTGATATTTTGGAAAGAGATTTGAGGATGGATATTGGCTTCTTTTGTCAGTAGTTACCAGTTAATAAGAATGTGGTAGCAGCAATGAGCGGTTTGGAGGGATGCCCCCTTTCTGTAATGAATAAGCTATATCTTCTCAAATATAGATCGAATTTTTGAGTGAAAAATCAAAAAAAAAAAAAAAAAAAAAAGATGAAATTTTTGTACATGTTAAAATGCTTCTGTAGTACTACTGTATATTCTCCACATTCTCTCTCTTTTACTTCTGTCTTCAGCACTCTTAATAGGCAAAATAACTCTCTGTACCTCCTCTACTTTTGTTTTATTACTACCCAAATTTCTGTGTTATCCCTTCTCTTTTGTTTTTGAGCCAATTTAGTAGTAATTCTTAATCCCACCCAAGATGAAATGGTACCGCGATGCTCTCTGAAAAGAAAATTTAAACTTTAGATTAGAGTTGATATTCAAGAAATTGTCTTGAAACTCTTGATAGAGATATGTACTAGTCAGGAACAAAGGTTACTTCTGAAATTAGTATTCAAAACTAGTTAGAGACTTAGTTTTTGTAAATTGGTGTATCTTGTAATTTTTTGGAAGCAAATTGATTTTTGGCTTTTATTATTATTAGTGTGTGTGTGTGTGTGTGTGTGTTTGGCCTTGTTAATGCTGATTTGTACAGCTGCTCTGATTGCACTAAAATGATACTGCTGGACTTGTCATGCATGTAACATTTTTGTTGTGCAATTGGTTGGGTGTTTCTAATTCTTTTTTTTTTTTTTTTTTTTTTTCCTTTTCTGATTTTCTAGATTCATTGAGGTATACATCAGCCTTGTCTGTGGGTTTGGCTATTGTATTCGTTGCAATTACAGCTGGAGTAGCTATTGTAAAGTTGTTGGAGGGGTCCATAAAAATGCCTCCATTGTTTCCCAAAGTAGTGGACCAAGCTTCATTCTGGAAGCTATTTACGACTATTCCAGTTTTAGTGACTGCATATATTTGCCACCACAATGGTAAGTTGCATTTATCTCTCTCTACCTATGATACATCACTGTAGGTAACATATGCACTATGTTCTTTGCCTTATCATTTATTTGGAATTATTGGCCTCTAAGGGCTATTGATTATATTATTTTATCATGTTATTGTGGTGACAAGACTGTAATTAAACAAAGTTTTTGTATTTATGCTGTAAGGCTTGTGGTAAAATTATAGGTTAGTGAGGCTGACCCTTGTTTGATTCAGAACATCATCCTTTGCTTTTGCTGTAGCAATGGCAAACATATCTCCATTTCTCAAGATTCCATAACGTAGTTGGAAGACTTGTTAGAGCTTTAGAGTTACCACATTGGATGAAATGATGTAAGTTATGGGCGAGAGACAACTCTCTTTCCTTTTTGGCTTAAGATATCTAAACCATTGAATTAGGACCATTGCAGATTTTGTGAATATGTATTAATTCCCTGTAGAACTGGAAAATATAGAGCCGGGGGGGGGGGGGTTGCTAACCTAGCCATACCATGGTGTAATTATGCAGGGTAGCTCATTGTCAAGAACACTCCTAATAATAACCCTTATGAGGGGTCATGCTATGTAAAGAACATTATTAAGTATCTTTTGGCTTGTCATGCTGCATTTCCTTTCAATTTACCATGTTTGTGCTTGCTTTCTCTGAATCATCTGAAGATAATGCTTGCTGTATTTTAGCCTACCAAGTCTCAGATTTATGTTATTCTCTTTCATTTCATTTTGCTGGAACTCTGTTTTTTTGTCGATTCCAATATGCATGGAAAAAACCTGGCTTCGTGCTTTTTTTATCAAAACATCTTGTGAACGTTGTTTTTACAGACTTCATGAAACATTGTTGTTCAGTGCTTCTTCAAAGTATGATCCCAAACTGATTTGTTTGTTACTTATTTTTCAGTGCATCCCATTGAGAACGAACTTACAGACCCTTCTCAAATGAAGGCAATTGTTAAAACGTCACTCATGTTGTGTTCCTCTGTATATGTCGCCACCAGCTTTTTTGGCTTTCTTTTGTTTGGGGAACAAACACTGGACGATGTGCTTGCTAATTTTGATGGAGACCTCGGGATTCCATATAGCTCACTGTTTGATGATGTGATTAGAGTGAGTTATGGTGTCCACTTGATGCTTGTGTTCCCCATTGTATTCTACTCCCTTCGTCTCAATGTGGATGGGCTGTTATTTCCACATGCCATACCCATAGTATATGATAATAATAGATTCTATTCATTGACTGCATGCCTAATGGGTTTTATATTTCTGGGTGCCAACTATGTCCCTAGCATCTGGGATGCATTTCAGTTCACCGGTGCTACTGCTACTATATCTGTTGGATACATCATACCAGCTGCAATTGCCCTTAGGTGAGTAATGCTCCTCTAATTGTAATTGGTAGAAGATTTTTTCAGAGGGGGCAGGGTTTGGAACATTAGGAACATTGAACTATTGTTGACTTTTGATCTATCATCATGCTACTTAGACAGTTCAGCAGTTCTTTCAAAAAAAAAAAAAAAAAAAAAAGACAGTTCAACCCTTGTTGGACACAACACTCCAAAGGGTATGGAATCCTCACATACCTTTTGGATTCCCACCCTAACACCACAAATATATTTATTTACCAGGTAGTGAAAACAAAATTTTAGAAAGAAAATGAATGAAAGTCATGGATGTGCTTGAATATGAGGGTTTTAACTTTTAGCCAAAACATTCAAGTCAATAAGAATTGTGTATTTGTGGTTATAAGGTGAGTTTACAGGGTTGTCATTAATATCTGGAATATTTTCCATAAATGTCATTGCACCAGTGGGCAGTGGACTTGGAGAGGTCCGTGTCCAAGATTTTGAGTCTTTGGCATGTTTGACACTTTGATATGTACTTGTGTAAGTAATAGGTAATACGGCTCATGATTATGGTCTCTTTGCTTGAGGCCTGTGGAAATTGATTTGTCACTTGACTTCTATATGCTAAATTCAGTATGGCTTGTATCCTGGAGTGAAAAGGAATTGTGTAATCTTGTGGAGGAGTTATCAAATTAGGTGTCAGTTATTTCCAATTTGCTTTCTACTCTGATCCATTTACTGTCCTTTCTAATGAAATTGTGTAATCTTGCAGAGACAACCACGGCATTGCAACAAGGAAAGATAGATTTATATCATGGGTAATGATTCCGTTAGCAGTGTTATCAAGTACTGTGGCCATTACAAGTGACATTTATAGCCTCGTGACCAATAATGAACATGAATTTTGAGCTCTAACGATGTCCTCTAATCTGGGCAGTGGGCACAACACTCTGTTTAGCACTATTCCCTTGATGGATACACGATTACAAAAATTTGTGTCAGGAATTTACTTTTCTTCTTGCTCTGATACCTGGAACCTGTCAGAAAAAGGTTTTTCAGTTGGGCTTGGAAGAAGATTCAGAAGGTTGCAGAGATGGTGTTGGGTTGTTAACATAACAGCAACATTTGTGCAGCACCAGTAATACGAGGAGGTTGTACGCAGAGGAAAGTTCTGCATAGTTTACAGAAGAGCGCCATATGTTGGTGACTGGTGCCTGAAAATGAGGTTATTGTTTTGTTTATACAGTATATTTATTTAATTATTTATTTTTGTAAAGAGAAAACCCAGGTGAATAACCTGAGATATTCATATAGAAGTACAAAAGTGGTAGAATTACAGAAGCATGGATGTAAAGAAGAAGAGCATATTGAAACATCATTATTGGTTTATGCCAATCTATTTGCAATTAGGTTGGTTTTGTGGATTATAGGAAAATTGACATAGGAATACTTGAAAGTATGTTCTGTATCATTTTCAGTGAAATACGAGAGGTCTTAGCAAGTAACAAAAGGTGAATTTTCTATCATCCAACAGTGTAACACTAACAAATTTCATTTGTGCAGCATAATGTTTATTTGTTAAACTTAGTTTTTGAAATGTGTTCTCTTTTTCTCTCTTCAACCTTTATGTCTTGGACTCCTTATTATGTGTATTTCTTTTCTATGTGCTCCACACTACCACCCTTGTTTGTAGTAATTTTTGCATCATTCACCACTTTTAGTTCAATAATCTTGAGAAATCATGTGAAATTTTGTTGAATGTATCTTAATAGTGTAGTTTTATAATACTCCATATTGATTTTGTTTTTTTATACATAAATTTTAAAAAAGGGTTTTTTAAGTTATGCCCCAAACTTCTTCGATTTCTAAGCTGTGTCCATGTTTTTTCAAACGTCTAACTTGTGCCTTCAACCTCACTAATTTTTTTAACAATAACCTTTTTTTTTTATTATTATTTTATTTTCTGATTTTAATTTTTTTAAAAGTGTTAAACCAATTAGAGCGGGACACGTGTCAAATTAATAACGCCACGATACCATTGTTGATAAAATAATTTAACTTTTGTGAACGGATATGGATGTTAAAGGGTATTATAGATAAAATATCGTCAGGTGGAGGGCACATCTTATAACTTTGAAAAAGCATGGGAACAACTTAGAAACCGAAGAATTTAAGGGCATAGATTAGAAAAAACCAAAAAAAAAAAAAAAAACAAATCAAATTTGATTAGAATAACATGGCGCTACTACATGCAATTTTCTGTAAAAGTTAAACTTACAAAAGACCTTATTTTCTTAATTAATTACTTTACTAATTACTATAAACTTGGTCAAATGAAGCATGGTAATACCATGATAGGACCTATTTTGTAGAGGTGTCAAATCGGGTACTCAAATGGAGTTTGGGTTGACCCACGACGGGTCGGGATGTTTGGGTCGGGTAATGATGGGTCATTTTAACTTAACAAACCAAATCAAATCGGGTTGAGCTTAATCAAATTCGGGTTTAAGTTGAGTTCAAGCATGGTCGGATACATACAAATCGAACTTGGCCCAAATCAAATTTGGGTCGAGTCATATCGAGTTCAGAAGAACTCGCGTCCGGATTTTACCGGGTTTATTTGGGTTAAAATGGATTTATTTAACTTTGGGTCGGGCCATTTCGTATTCGATTAGATCTCGGTTCAAATCAACTCAGTTCCGGCAAAAATTTGAATCTCGTTATTTTGATTGCTAGCTCATTCTTTTGGGTCGAATAATTTGAATTCGGGTCAATCTCGGTTCAACTCGGCTTTTAGCTATATTAGAATAGTCATGTCATTTCTGTTGTTGGATATTTTATTCATATATAGTTCAGATCATTTTTTGGGTTTCATTGAAGATTTTGTATTGGCTTATCAGAATTGATATAAAATTGACAACTCGAGTCATTGAAGAAATTATAATAATTATTTATCTCCTTGATCAGGTGATTATCACATATTATAAAATGTTTCCTTACGTTTTGGTTTATCATCGTCTTTGTGGCTAATTATCATCGCCACTTCATTGGCTACTCGATTATTAGAAGTATCAAGATTGTTTATTGTATATTAGCAACTAACTCGTCTCGTGATTAAGAATACAAGATTTTCATATTTTAGTAATGTTTGATTTTGTTATTGTTAATGAAGTTATACCCCTCCATTTTGTAATAACCGCAACACATATTTACTTTACGTTGGTTTCATAATAATTCTAACATCTTATTTAGTGAGGACAGGTTACTACGAATAGTTTATTATTTCTCCTCATTAACCCTACCAACACAAATATTTTATTATTTCTTACTCATATTAACAATTAATTATATTTCCACTAACTACACTTTATATTATAAAATTCTCAATTTGGACCATACCTTGTAATTTTCTTACAACTTTATGCAATGCAAACCCTAATTTAAACCCTAAACCAATACGTCAATAAGATAAGATTAGTGACAATCAGATGAAATGAACACACTATCATATTACACTGTCTAATATCCAAATTCAAATAAATTACAACTAAAATAAGCTAAATAACCCTAATATGTTAAAGTCCGTTTGGATAAGAGTTTGTCAACTCGCCTTATTTTCTCTTATTACGAGACTATAAGTTCAGATAATATCATATAAGTTTAGATAAGTTTTGATAAATTCAAATTAGTTAAGATAAATTCAAATTATTTAAATAAATTCAAATAATAAATTCAGATAAGTTCAATTAAATTGAAATAAATTTTAGGGAAATTTTTCAAAAATAACACCACCTTTGGGCGGTCTTCCAACAATAGCACTACCTTTTGATTATTCCAGAATAACACCACCTTTCACATGCATTTGCCAAAAATGAAACAAAAAACCGGTAACCTGTTTAATAGGTAACCCTGGGACACGTGTTCTAATTTGATTGGTCAATTTATTTATTTTTATTTTTGATTTAAAAAAACTTAAAAAAACTTTAAAAAAAAAATCAAAAAAATTAAACCCCCCTTCCCAGCCCCTATGACCACCCCCTTTCACCGGCATTCACCACCCCCACCAAGACCCCTGAAACCACCCTCTCCTTAGCCCCTCCACTTCCCGACCCCATTTCCAGCACCCCCTCCTCTTTACCGACCCATTTTCAGCCCTTCCCCTTCTTCCCTTATCCGATTTCGGCCCCTCCCTCCTTCCCTTTTCAATTTCGGCTTTCTCTCCCTAATTTCCGTAGGCTAAGGTTTCGGGGAGGTGGTTTAGGGTCAGATTTAAGGTCGGGTTTCATGTTGTATAGCCGTGGGTTTAAGGAGGGGGCACCGATTTGCGGTGGATGAAGGGGGTCGTATCTGGGAGGGGGAAGGGAAGAGGGTTGTTCACAAGCGGTGTTGGGTTGTTCAAGGGCGAGAGAATGGGTGGAGGGGTGTCGTTCAGGGGAGGGGGAAGGCTGGGGAGGTCTATCGGTAGAGAGGGTGGGGTGGGGGAGGGGTGGGGGCTGGGAAGGGGGGCTAGGTGGTGGTTTGTTTTTTTTTTTTTTTTTTTTTTTTTTTTTTTTTTTTTATTAATTTTAACTTTGTTTTTTAATTACTTAGGTTTTTTTAAAAATAAAAAAAATTGACCAATGACATTGTGACACGTGTCACATGTAACCTGTAAATCAAGTTACCAACCGTTTTTGTTTCATTTTTGGCAAATACATGTGAAATGTGGTGTTATTCTGGAATAATCAAAAGGTGGTGTTATTATTGGAAGACCGCTCAAAGGTGGTGTTATTTTTGACAAATTTTCCTAAATTTTAATAAATTCATATTCATCAAAATCGTGAATATAATACACCTAGTTAGTCACATTAATATAACATATATACATATTTAATGCCATAAATTTCAAATTTTATACATTGTAGGAAGTATATTTCATGGTATAATGATAATATTGGATTGTTTGACTTTAGAGTACAAAATCATAGACTAATTGTCTAATATATCAATCAATGATCGTTGTACCGTCCCTAATCCATGCACTAATATCAATCAATAACCATGGTCAGGGCCGTCTTGAAGATTTTAGAGGCCCTGTTCTAAATTATATATTAGGGCCCTTTAATTATTTTTTTTCGAGGATAGTACATATTTTAATAAGTATGTTGAGATTGAAAATAAACACAATAAAAATTGTATGTTTTATTAATAATAGCTTTAAAAAAATCTAAAAATTAGATCAATCAATACTTTAAGATCTTTTTTAAATTAAAAAAGAATAACTACAGTAAATTAAACAATCTAAAAATTAATATATATATATATATATATGAAGAAATTTGACCATAGCCCCATAATTTTTTGAAACGATAAACAAGAAGAAAAAACCCAAATAAGTTAATATAGATTATCCTGAACCATGGAATTTTTTTTTTTCAGAATTATCATACTCCGTACTCGTATTTAATTTATAGTGTTGTATTATTGTGGAGTATACTTGTATGAAAAAGAGGAATGGTATTAAAATTAATTGATTATTTTGGTAAAGATATAAAATTAATTTGGAAACTTGGAGAATTAAAGAAGGAAAACAGAAATTTAACTATGATAAATGAGGCATAATTAACGTGTAGTGGGAATTGAAATTTGAGTTGTACTTTGTAGAGCAATTATAGCGTGATTTTAGGATGTGTCATGAAAGAGAAAAGGTTAAAAAGGTAAAATATAAATCAGGCAGACTAAACAAAAAATTGGCTTGTAAAATATTGGGGCCCTTAAATTTTTGGAGGCCCTGTGCTTGTGCACACTTTGCACACCCTCATCTACGCCTATGACCATGGTACATTTGTATCGTCCCTAGTATGTTGACTCCATTCAAAATTGCCATTTCTTTGTGGCACCACTCTATATTTCTTTAGTATCTATGTATTTCCTAAAAATTAAAGTTTTCTTTATACCATTTTATTACCAATTTTCAATCCATTCTCTGCCTCGCTTCTTTGTTCATTGTTCTCACTATTAGTCACTACAATGTTGTAGAATATTTAGATGTGTGAAATCATGGGCTCTTGGATTTGATTGTAGTTTGTTAGCTTAGTTAGATGAATACAAAGAATAACTAAATGTGATAGAGTGTATGTCTCACTTTTCCTAATTATAACTAAGCTTGAGCCCCATAACTTAAAATGGTTTGATAAGATGGTCATGGAAAATTTTGGGTTAAGTTAATTAAAAGGGCCGGGTAAAAATGAATCATGAGTAGTTTTGGATCGGGTTAAATTGAGTCAAAGGATGTTTCAAGTCGGGTAAATAGAGGTCGGGTAATACATATATCGGGTAAAAAGAGAAATTTTTGGGGTCAAAATGGTTTCGTAAAGATTTTGTTTCGGATTAGATCGATTTCGGATATTGAATTATCAGGCCTTATTAGTTTCGGATTAACTATGAGTCGATTCCAAGTTGGGTTTGGACCATATATTACCAGCTGAATTCGGTTATGAGTTAACTTTGGGTTGACTCCAGATCGAATTCGGATATTAAATTCTCGGGTTAAACCAGTTCGAAAACAGTTCGGCTTTAGATAAACCTTTCGGGACGGGTGAGT